AGTTAACCAAACAAAGTTTGTGTAGTCATGGGGAGATGAGGATTTCCTGAGTTGTGGTGCTCATGCATATGGAATGATATCCCTATTGAGATCAAGAGGCCTCCCATTGTAGGGTGTTTCTACCCAGCACCTGATGTTTTATTTGCTTGCTCAAACATCTTTCTGTTTGTTCACCTGCTCGGGTAACAATTTAACTGATTTTAATAAATATTTTATTATTCTAAGATTATAATTTATTATTATAACATTTTATCATTGCTTTGTTATATGCTTTGTGATTGAGTTGAAACAGTATGGGATATGTAGTCAGAGAAATGTAAGATGGAGTCAGAAAGGTTCTGTGTGAAGATGATTTGAGACACATTGGAATGTGCTTTTCTAAGTGCTATGAGAGTGTTTTTCTGAAGACCGGTACAGCGTGGTTCAAGATAAAGCTGAAGGTCATACAAGGAGCCCATGAAAAACTCAACATTCTGAGCTAATTTGAGAAGAGATAAAACACCTGGATTTTCATGGGAATTGAGGGAGGAGGAAGATGTTATAGCCCCTTGAGGCTAATCAGTTAACAGCCATGAATTGTCAAGAAGAAGGGAAGAGTTAGAGAATGTAGAAAATGGATGATGGGTTATGTGGAAGAAGTTCAGAAGTTCTATTCCATGATGATGGGAGATAAAAAGAACTTGATGATTTGAGTATGTGGCTTTAAGGAGAAAGAATGTAAGTGGAGCGAAAGAAGGAGGTGGGGCTAGCCCACCTTAGGCCAGCTTAGTAGTGTTTATTATTTTAATGGGTATTAGTTATTTTATTTAACTGTAATGATCTTTGAATATGTTCTTTATGCTAAAGCCTGAGCAATATACAGTGGTGCCTGGCATAGCGAGGTTAATCCGTTCTGGATTAACCATCGCTACTCGGAAACATCGCTAAAAGGAATAGAAAAACCCATTGGTTCGTTTAATGCGCTCCAATGGGCCCCAAACTCACCGTTCAGCGATGTTCCTCCATAGTGCAGGCATTTTCGCGCCCTCAGTAAGCGAGGGCAGGGCGGGAAAACGCTGTGCACGGCCATTTTGGGACTTCCGGCGGCCATTTTGGAGCCGCCGATCAGCTGTTCTCCCGACATCGCAATGTGAAGATCGGTAAGCGAAATGCTTACCGATCTTCGCAAAGCGATTTTTGCCCATTGGAACCATCGGTATGCGATCGCATTAGCGATCCCAAAAAACGGATCGCTATGCGAATTCATTGTTAAATGGTGCGCTCGTTATGCAAGGCACCGCTGTAAACTGATTCTATGAAACTCTATTTTTCTAATAAAAATTAATTATAAGAAATCCTTACAAAGGACTGGTCTTTTGAACAGCAGGGTCTGGCTAATTCCAGGGGAGAGGCGAAGGCCACAAACTAGCTATCATTAAGAGTCCTACCTAACTGAGCTGTTGTGAATTCTAAGAAATCACAAAGCCCATGTGTCTGTACTTGCAAATTACTGAGCAAAAGTAAAGTGTTCTTTTAAGGTCAGACTTGTTCAAGGGGCTTACGCTACGCACTGCTGAGGTCTTGCGAAGGTGGTAGGTAAGTGGCCTGTCGAACTCTCTGACTGAGTGCTAAGCTCCTTAGGGAGACTTGGACACTACAGGTTTTTATTGTATCTTCTGGTTTTGACGTTCTTATACCTCACAGACATTTAAAAAACAAACAAAACATCATCATAAATTCTAAATGAGTTTATGTGGAAGTGATCAAGGAACTCAGAATTTCTGAAAACAAGAAATTTAAAGTAAATGCACTCTGAACTCCTCATCTTTGACTATAAAAATAACAGCAATTTCCTGTTCACAAAGCATACAGATACTTTACATAGGAAACAGGCATAAAGGGTGCTCAGTCCATGAAAGGATTTGAACATGGGAGGTCTGACTTAATTATTACTAGGACAGCTTCCTGATACAATTGGCTTCACTTGTCTTTTGAGAAACACTGCTCCACGAGGATGACTCATGTCCAGTCACAAAATAAGCCTGGACCTGACTTTAGCAGTGACTAACTTTATTGGCCAGACAGAATGGCTTGGAACTGAAGCTGAGAAATATAAAAACCATGTCACTCAGATGTTTAATTTCATCCAGACTAAAAACAGAATTAGTAAACATGTTACTGTAGTTACTCTGCCTACTGTACAAAATAAACAGCTTGACTTTTTCCACTTGTAAGGACCTTTCATTCTTTATTTAAAAAAACTACTTTGGAAGAAGATGTGTTACAGATGTAAATTGTGCAGAGATGTTTATCGTAAGTATTCATAAATGCTTACTCTGGTTCAGAAACTTACTAGTGTCCTTTTGTATGGAGAAGTGAATGGGCCAAAAAGCCCTGGAAAGAATCCTTGACCTGCACAGTAGTCCTCTGTGCAAGCAGTTGCACAGTCCCCAGGTTTGCATGAAGAAGTACTGTATAACTGGATACCGCCGTGCAAAAGCTTGGAAAATGCCCAGCTGCTCATGCAATGCACTGTGACCGGAAAGAATTAACAGGAGTCTGTATCTTCTAGTAACATCAGAAAGTTCTGGAGAATAAGCGAACTCTTAAGAAGGGAAACAGCCCATTCAGTAACAGGGCCAGCCTTGCCATTAGACAGACTAAGATGGCTGCCTCACAGGGGAGGAAGAGATAGTAAGGGGCCGGAAGGCTGGACTGTGTGATGCAGAGGGTGTATCCACTAAGCTGTCTACTGTCTGTTCAGTGACATACACTGTCTGATGTACTACTCTCAGAGTTTAATTCCACTGACAATCTGATCAACTTTTCTGCACAGAGTGATGGGTCCAGCCTCAGTCTTTGCTTCAGCACATAACACGTCTTAGACAAGCCCTATGCAACAGGGCTGTGGATAAGGAAGGTGCTGATACAGACTCCCAACAGTTTGAAGCACTGGAGAATAAAATATTTCAGATGAAAACTAAAACTGAACAAAGGAGAGTGAACATACTGTATTTGAGATTTGTAACCATTTGTCAATCTAGTTTTCATCAAAATCTTGCTTGCTGTCATTCAGAAATGAGCTAGTTAAAGCAGTATGACAACACATACGCTACTGAAAGCAGGACATCATGTTGTCTCTACACATTTTGGCCCATCCAATCACAGCTACCATATCTCAGAACTGCCGTGACGCAGATAAACCAACACACTTGTACATCTAATTGCCTTAAACTATATGAGTGATATTGTTAGAAGAGAAATCTCAGGGCAATCTGCCTGCATATATGTAGGATTCCAATAGTTAAATTAACTGAAATAGAGGAGGACTGACTTTGTGTTTATTTTTTAATACAGTGTGTTCTATTGCTAACTGTCTTTAGAACATAGGCATTTAATTGCAATACTCACTCCCTATTTAATGTCTAAGCTTGGGGTAGGTGACCCATGAGAGTCCGGGGTGTGTGTGTCTTTTTTGCCCTTCTCTGGATCTGGAGAAGTGTGTAGTTTCTTATGACATGTCTGTTCCTCAAAGCCCCACTCCCTGCAACATCTGCCCTCCTCCCCAAAATAGAAACTATGCACGAAATGGAGCCTGAGGCTGGCAGTTCAATTCACCTCAGTCAATTCACCACTATGCCTCTAGGTATAAGAGGCAGTCTGTTTATGCTTTGGCAAGCTGCACAGTTTCAGGGTGCCCTCCAGAAAAAGTCAATAGTTAACCACTGCTGAATACTGTTTACCCACAAGACACTGGTCACCTTAAGTCAGAATTGACTTGACAGCACATAGTTATAATTGTTATGTGTTATATCCTCCATGGAGAAATAAATATGCACTCAAGCAGGGTACGAAATGCCTAAGGAGATCAAAGACCAACTGTCCCATGTTTGTCAGGAAAACTCTGAGGAATATCTGGGTGTCCAGGTCTTTCTAGTCCTCCCTGTAGCTACACACCTACACTAAATCATGTGTATTTTTGAACTTTATAATATAATCTATAAATGCTAAGATATTTCTTCGGGATCAGCACTGGCCAGTATCAGGGACAAACTTGGGAATAATGATGGGGTTTGATAAACTAAAAGCAATAATGTTTTCAGCCCTAGTACCAAACAATACTTGTTAGTCTCAAAGGTGCCACAGAATCCTCCATTGTTGTTGCTGCCAAATGCTAACATAGCTACTACCCTGAATCAATTTTTTGATTTTTTTTTTCTTTTAAGGATCTACAGGTTTTCTCTAACAGCTCTAGATGCTAAGAACTGCCTCTAAGTCTTCTGTTCAGTGACTTCTGACTTTGCTGATGTGGTTTTCCTTCTACTTTCCTTTCCTAATTTTGCCTTTCCAAAGGCGAAGACCCTACCAGGGAAAGGTGGAGTACAGCAGATGGCACTTTTCATTTCCCATTATTTTCAGGAAAAAAACTAGGAGCTTTCTGAACATAAGCCTGCATTGCCCATGAGAATGTTGGGATCACTTGCTGAGTAAATCCAGTGCAGAGCTGGGGTGCTTAAGACTCATTGATTGCCATGGGCTTGAGTGTACCAAAGTGCAGGCTGGATTTAGGCTTGTAACATTTAATACCTCCTGTATAAGCAGACTGTGTCAGCAGGAAGGTAAAAAAGAGTCCCATATTACCATATTTATTTATTTATTTATTTATTTATTTATTTATTTATTTATTTATTTATTTATTTATTTATTTATTTATTTATACCCCGCCCCATTAGACCATATATTGATGGTAATGATGTAAAACCTAGAAGTCAATTTATAACCGCCACTTCTATGTTTATATGTATTATTTCTTCACATCAAAAGAAGTCGTGAGAATCAAACTAAGTGCTAGGTTAAGAATAAAACAGTGGGTGTACCTGTAGGCATTTAAAACTATAATATGCAGGAAACATGGACATGGAGTCCAGCACACATTCAGTATTTACAGACACACTGACTCTGTGGACAAATGTAGAGTCTCAGCATGAAAAAATAGCCAGTAAACACAGATAGTTAGTTACCTGTTCACAGACAGTGTCAGCTGGTCCAGACATGCTTTGATCTTGTTTTGTGCTTCTAGATGTGTCATGTTTTCTGTGCTCTCACCATTAATTGACAGAATGACATCACCCGGACAAAGGTTGGCAAGAGCAGCTTTACTTCCAGGATTAATCTATGAAAGAGAAAGATAAGCTATAATGTTTTGATAACAGGATATTCATATTTGTTCTTCAGGGTTTGGGATTGGAGGAAAAACCACATCAAGGACAAAATTTAATGGAACTAAATAAAGCAACATAGTTATTCGAAAGATAGTATTCTTAGAGCTGCTTTTAGTGAACAATTTTGAACTCTGATGGCCAGCGTACAATCTTTTCATCAGGAAAACTGCTGGTCAAACTTTCTCTAGCATACAAGGTCCAGATGCATTAAGAATATGATTAAAAGGTGAAGGATTGTGTTGGATCTCACTGAAAAAGGGTTGCTCTGCTGGGTGCAATCTGATTTAAAGTGACTCTTCCATGCACACATAATCCAATACCTATCATTCCAGCCCACTCCAAAAAAAGGTTAGCCACCGGACTAGACCTACTGCTGAGCCTAAAAAGGTCCAAATGAGCAGGAAAAGGGTCGGGCTAGTAAGCAATTTCCTATATGTTGTTTAGTCCCCAGAAAACAGATTGAACATGACTGTGGCACAAGCAGTCCAAAATAGGATCTAAAATGTCATTTGATTGCACCTGGAGTCCACCTTACTCTCTCTTTTCCTCTCTCTTCTCTGAATGTTCTTAATAATATGACCAGTTTTATACTTGTTCTTGACTTAATCTGCTCAGTAGCTTGAAGCTCACAGTACATACAATCCTATATATTAGCTCTACATACAGTACAATTATTTTGAACTTGGATCCATTGGAGTCAATGTGACACACCAGCATTGAAAGACAGTAAAAAGCCAAAAATGCTTAGGACATTTGCTTCCTCTGCACATTGAAACACTATGTATGTTTGCCAGAGCAAAACTCAAAACATCAGAAACCATTGGTGTTCTGGAGGTACATTTTCAGGGTTTTGCAAACCAGGTGAAATGGGATTCCAGTTTCCTTATTTGCCTCTTTAGAGTAACTATATCAACAGTAAAGGAATAGAGCTCTCCACATCCAAGGACAATTTAATGTCCACTATAAAGAAGCATTACAAGTGTATAATTTATAAAAATGTAACTATTGAAACACAGCCATTTGGCTTCAAAATTTGATTGTCCAAAACTGTTGTATAATTATACTGGTTAAAGGGACATGGCAGATTGCTGCTAATTAGCAAGTTCCTGCTTGGATTCCCCATTGTGCACCAGTCAGGTTACTTGGTCTTGGTCTAGGAATCCAAACAGAGACTCATTAACTAGTGAGTTTCCCTTTTGCTGGCATAATGACGCAAAAGGATTCTGGCCATCATGTATTTCTCTCTTCCTCTACCACTCTCAAATGTGGGCACTGCAGATTCAATCTGACACTTCAAATCTAGAAGCCCTCCAGAAACTGAAGCAGAATACAAGCAAATACAGTACAAGCAAAAGTGTGTCAGAAATTCCAAAGAATTACATAATGGAACAGAAAGAAATCACTCATTCTTTAGCAAGGAGTAGAATATTTAGGAAGGAGTAGAATATTAAAATGTAGCAAGGAGTAGAATATTAATATTCCCCTTCATGGATTGCTGCCTTGTTGTGAAGGGGCTTGAGTAATTCAGACAAGCTATGGGCTATGCCGTGACGGGACACCTCAGAAAGACAGGTCATAGTGGAGAGTTCCGACTAAACGCAATCCACCTGGAGCAGGAATTGGCAAGTCACTCCAGTATCTTTGCCAAGAAAACTCCATGGACAGAAATAAAAGACTAAAAGATATGATGCTGGAAGATGAGCCCCTCAGGTCAGACGGCGTCCAGCATTTTACTGAGGAAGAACAGAGGACAAGTACAAGTAGCTCCAGAGCTAATGAAGTGGTTGGGCCAAAGCTAAAAGGAATCTCAGCTGCGGACGCACCTGGAAGTGAAAGGAAAGTCCGATGCTGCAAAGAAAAATACTGCATAGGAACCTGGAATGTAAGATCTATGAACATTGGTAAGCTGGAGGTGGTCAAACAGGAGACGGCAAGAATAAACATTGACATTCTGGTTGTCAGTGAACTAAAATGGACAGATATGGGCGAATTCAATTCAGACAATTATCATATCTACTATTGTGGGCAAGAATCTCGTAGAAGAAATGGAGTAGCCCTGACAGTAAGCAAAAGAGTGGAAAAAGCTGTACCGGGATACAATCTCAAAAATGATAGAATGATTTCAATACAGATCCAAGGCAGACCTTTCAACATCACAATAATCCAAGTTTATGTACCAACCACTGATGCTGAAGAGGCTGAAATTCACCAATTCTATGAAGACTTATAACACCTTCTAGAACTGATACCAAAGAAAAATGTTCTTGTCATTATAGGGGACTGGAATGCTAAAGTAGGGAGGCAAGAGATAAAAGGAACAACAGGGAAGTTTGGCCTTGGAGTTCAGAATGAAGCAGGGCAAAGGCTAATAGAGTTTTGTCAAGAGAACAAGCTGGTCATCACAAACACTCTTTTCCAACAACACAAGAGGTGACTCTACACATGGACATCACCAGATGGGCAAAACCAAAATAAGAATGATTATGTTCTCCGCAACCAAAGATGGAGAAGCAATATACAGTCAGCAAAAACAAGACCTGGAGCTGATTGTGGCTCTGATCATCAGCTTCTTATTGCAAAACTCAAGCTTCAACTGAAGAAAGTAGGAAACACCACTGGGCTAGTCAGTTTTGATCTAAACCAAGTCCCTTATGAATACACAGTGGAGGTGAATTACAGATTTAGGGAACTAGATTTGGTGGGCAGAGTGCCTGAAGAACTTTGGATAGAGGCGTGTAACATTGTACAGGAGACAGCAACAAAAACCAACCCAAAGAAAAGGAAATGCAAGAAAGCAAAGTGGCTCTCCAACGAGGCCTTACAAATAGCAGAGGAAAAAATAGAAACAAAATGCAAGGGAGATAAGGAAAGTTACAGAAAATTAAATGCTGACTTCCAAAGAATAGCAAGGAGAGACAAGAGAGCCTTCTTAAATGAACAGTGCACACAAATAGAGGAAAATAATAGAAAGGGTAAAAGCAGAGATCTGTTCAAGAAAATTGGAGATATTAAAGGAACATTTTGTGCAAAGATGAACATGATGAAGGACAAAAATGGTAGGGACTTCACAGAAGCAGAAGACATCAAGAAGAGGTGGCAAGAATATACAGAGGAATTATACCAGAAAGATCTGACTGTCCCGGACAACCCAGATAGTGTGGTTGCTGACCTTGAGCCAGACATCCTGGAGAGTGAAGTCAAGTGGGCCTTAGAAAGCATGGCTAACAATAAGGCCAGTCGAGGTGATGGCATTCCAGTTGAACTATTTAAAATATTAAAAGACGGTGCTGTTAAGGTGCTACATTCAATATGCCAGCAAGTTTGGAAAACTCAGCAGTGGCGGGAGGATTGGAAACAATCAGTCTACATCCCAATCCCAAAGAATGCTCCAACTACCGTACAATTGCACTCATTTCACACGCTAGCAAGGTTATGCTTGAAATCCTACAAGGGAGGCTTCAGCAGTATGTGGACCAAGAACTCCCAAAAGTACAAGCTGGATTTCGAAGGGGCAGAGGAACTAGAGACCAAATTACTAAAACACACTGGATTATGGAGAAAGCCAGAGAGTTCCAGAAAAACATCTAGTTCTGCTTCATTGACTACGCAAAAGCCTTTGACTGTGTGGACTACAGCAAACTAGGGCACTGTTCTTAAAGATATGGGAGCACCTGACCACCTTCACTATCTCCGGAAAAATCTCTATGTGGGACAGGACACAACTTAACGACTAAACAACAACAACAACAACAATAGAATATTAAGAGAGAACACTACACATAAATCCAGTGTTTCCCAAATGAATCTTGATTTTGAAGTTCAGACAACATATTGTGTGCTTGACTTACTTACTTGAAAAGCTGGTTTCTTAAATATGGTACTATAATCCTTGGGAATTCTACTCAGCCGGTGTTTTTTAAAAATGCTAAAACTGAACTAACAGAAACACTGTAAGCCAAAGAAAGAAGTGTTCAGATGAGTGGGGAAGGTGCACAAAACCCAGAGGACTAATCAGATTCTTCTACCCAACATTTCTTATCTTCTCCTCTTAGCTGTACAGAGGGACCTCCCAAAAGTTTAAGAAGGGTGTTTCTTTGTCTCTTCAAGTGCAGGGAAGTTGAAAGCATTAAGATTCATACAATATGTCTCCATTCCTCTGTGATTAGTATCTCTGATGGTTTCTGTCAGCAAAGCATTCGTACCCCGCACCTCCATTCCATGGCCACGTGAAAAGGCACACCAGAGTACTGGGAACACAGTGCTTCATGGTAGGAGAGGGATGTCTTGGTAGAGAAACGATAAAGCGTCCTGTCCTCATCTCGTCTGCCCAGTTTGCAGATTAAAAATATGTGGACAATTTGGTGTGGTTTTCTTATTTTGCACTCCTATTCCATTTCCTGATTTTAACCACAGACAAACAGCTTGTACATTGCCAAATTAATGGCAACACCCTGGGAGCACAGTTATTCCAGAGACTCTTTGGGAAACCAAATGAAATCAGGTCCTTCTGCTCCACATTCATCATGGTCAAGCTATAAATGGCTTGGATGCTGGAAACCCCCCGTTTTGATTTTCCAGCTTAACTGATTTGTAACACACTTGGGATCACTTCCTTGGAACCAAAGGCCAAACAAGACATTAATTCCCCCAATTAAAAGAAGCAGTCAACACGGCAGCAACTATTCTAACAGCTTCCTCCAGAGGTGTTATCTTCCCTCACAGCTTTCACTGACTCCTATTTCAATTACCTGTCACTTTCCAGTCATGCGTGAAATATCACACTGTTTATTAAATCTCCTTAGTTCCCCCCCCTTGCTATTTTTGTGTTAATGCCAAAAATCTTGCAAAGCTTGTAACTCCCTTTGAGGGAGGCTAATGACACATCCTGGTAACATCTGTAGTTGTGTTTTTTTTTATAAAACAGAAGAGATACTGCATTCCAAAATGAAAC